ATTATTAGTTCTTTCTTCTATTCGTTCTATTCGTTTTGTTTTTTTTTTTTTTTGTTCTTCTGTATTTTCCTTAGTTCTTTTCCTTTTTTTTTTTGTTTTTATTACATATTTTTTTCATTTCTCTTTCTTTTTTTCATTTTACTTTTATCATTCCCTTTGGAGGGGAGAATTTTTAGTTAGTCGTTGAGATGAAAGTCTGTACAAAAATGATGAATCCGTGTGATGAATCGGTGTGTATAAATCGTACACGCGTAGACGTGATCAGCGTTCAAGGCGTCAATCAAGGCAGCCGGTTCAGCCTTAAACGCTGGGCAACGACGTCGACCTTCTCTGCCCTGGCCAGAGAATTTTACTCATCGTGATGCATTTTCATATCCTAAGCGCTGACCATCTAACGTCGGACGGCACGGATGTCTTTCAGGGGATGCACGAGTGCGTGTTGGTAGCCTGCCCCGGTGACGACAACGCCACGGAAAAGTCCGAGTCCAGGACCAGATCGCTGATACATCCCACGATACCCTTTGCGTATCTTCCTCCCGTTGTCCTCACGATATCAGGCGCGCCACCTGTTAAAAATATTACCAAAAAGTTTGTAATTTTTTTCAGAAAAATAGTCGATCAAATGGAAATCATTTGCGAATATATATATATATATATGTAACTATAGTTTATCTTTTTTCAATGCCGACAATTTTTATTACTTGGTTCGGTGTAAATTTTATCGAAACAAAGGGGAAGTTCTCTTTTCTCCAATGAAATTTCGATTGTTGTTGAAATAAAAAAGTGACTTAAAAAGAAGAAACTGTGCTGCAAAGGATTTAAATTGTTTTGAAAAATATTTAAGGAAAGGAATAATAAGCAATAAATCTAGAAAGTTGAGAGTAATTTTGAAAGATTTCTATGTTTGATTATTTAGTTGACGGAACGTTGTAAAAGTATTTGATGAATTAGAGTATAGCCTCTATAAATTTCCTGAGAGTACAGCTATGTATCAAGCTGTTTCTTTACGAGTTCAACAGCTTAGCGGAAGTTGCCGAGAATTCGTAACGCGAGGATGATCCACTTGGTAATTTCAGTAATAACTCAAGGACAGCTAAAGCTGGATGTATAAGTTGACGGTGTTGAAACTTACGAGTAGTTAATCTTTGATATTTGATGATTTTCAAACCGAAATATTCGAAGAACTTCTTTATATAACTTTTGAAATATTTTGAAATATTCGCCAATTTTCAAAAGATAGATTGATGTTTCAAGTTACAAAGACAGTTCAAAACAAACAGAATTTATTAAGAAGAATTGATAGAATATAAATTATGAAAAAAAAAAAGAAAAACTGAAACGTTATCTTTCACAGTTTATTTCACTAATAAATTCGCAGAAAAGCAATACTTCAAATTATCTTGAAACTATTAATAATGATAACAATATCCACAAGTATCTATTTAGGCAAATCATAAGCAAATAAGTAGTATAACTCGATCATAATCAAACAAGCAGCGTTGCAAACCATAATTCAGCAACCATAACACAATCAATTAAGGTAAAATAAATACAATAATCACGACTGATCAAATAGTGCGAGTTAACAAATCAATAATGATAAGACAAATAAAATAGATCGATCATAACGAGACAAGTAATACCGATCCAATGATAGTTAAACAAATAGAACGAACCAATCACGTTCAAACAAGTAGAATCAATCACCAATTGTCAGAGAAATGAGAGAAGGCGATCAAATAGTCATTTTTATCGACATAAATGTTTCACTTACCGACATAAAGACCCGTGTCAGTGTTCAATTGTCTGAGTTGTCCAGGCGACGACGCGGAAACGCCTGTACCACTGTCGACGACAAGCGACGCCCATTGTTCGTTCCTGAAGGAATATCGATCGATTTCAAAAACATTGGAATTCGATTAAAAAGTTTTCGTCGTGTAAAAAAAAAAAAGAAGAAAAAAAAAAAGAAAACTTCGATACACGGATGAGAAACTTTGTTACCTCACTGCTCGGACCCGATGCCATAGATCATCGTCCAATCTCGTTAAATTGTACCGCAGAACAGCCTCGCCCGAGCCAAGATTGTAAGCTAAAGTCAAATAGCCACGATCCAATCCGAGGGCTAGAAAATCGTCGTTCTCGTCCCTTTGTTCTTGCGGATCCGCTTGCCTCCCGCTCCAAAGCAGCAGCCCGCTACTGCTGCTCGCCCTGAATCTCATATTGATGTCCACCCTGTAGCTTATTATCCTGAAACAGACGGATAATTTTCTTCGAGGTTGAAAAGGATACGAATATTTCTCTCAGAGGGATATAGAAAGAGAAAAGTCATAACGAAGGAGATTTCGAACGAGCTTCTTCCTGGATTAAGCAGGAATTGAAATGGAGAGCTGTGTTGAAATGGAGCTTCTTCATCTTGAATTTTGATTAAAATAAAAATATATTGGTGTATCGATATGATAATTAATTTGATGAACTCTTGATCAAGTTTCTATTCATCTTTGATAACGTTTCATTCATTCAAATATTTCTCTAATTTTCTTTTACTTCGAAAAGAATGTGAAGATTAGACGCAGAAATTTTACGCACCTTTTCATCGTGTCCGCGTCGTTGTAATGGAGATAGCTCTCGCTGCCCGAGAAACTGGGCACGGATCTCTCGAACCGCGCGGCAGCGTTCGGTTTCGAGGGGGAGCTGTCCAAAATCGTGTTGTCGTCCGGCGCTGGACAGGGATGCGGCATGCCAGGTCGACAACGACACGTGAATCGGTCCCGAAGCGGACGACACTCCGCGTCTCCGCACGGCCTCGCCTCGCACGCGTGCCCGCAATTGCCCACGTTCACCCCGCCCAAAGCCTCGGCGAGGATTCCGATCTGTGCAAACGTAATCGCTTTGTTAATGACGATTAACACGGCCGCGACAGCTTGTCACGACGAATGATCCCCTGAACGTGGACGAACCGCAGTTTGCCCGCATCACGATCGACCAACCTGTGGGAATAATAACGATCCCGTGCTACCCTCCAAAACTCTGGAAAATATATGGATTTGTACTGTATGCGTATGTTGCTTGTGCAACGATCTTAGACCTGTACTACTTATTCTATATATATATATATATACATATATACGGCATGTGTAGAGGTTATCATTTGGTTATTTGTGATAAATTTGTGTGCATGAAGTATACGTAAGTAAAATAGAAGCGCATAAAGTATTTGTTATAATAATTGAAGATGTTCCATATTTCTTTTCAATTATAAAATTATTATAATAATTGTTATAAGAATTTCATAAATTGAACGAAATTTATAAACAATTTTATGATCAGCTTGAAGATTTAAAATTTTCTTTTCATAATTCTGGAAATATCGTGAAAGAAAACTAGACGGTTGATGTGATAGAAATGAAAAGGATACAGGTCTCGTTTTAAAATTACATGATTATGTGATTTTTAATTCTCTTACTCTTGGTGCAAGAGGCATATAATTTGTTGAAAGTAAGTTTCGTTAACAACTTAAACGAATATCCCTATTTTAAACACGAATGTCGTTTAATAATATTTCAATTTTCCTTTCAAGATTTGAAAAGCTTTAAAAGTTCAATCGATAAAGGAGAATCGAGATGACCATACACACAGACCTATACTTGCTTAATGATTACGAACGTAGACCTGTATTACTAGCTCCAATAGCTGTACACTTAGAACTTATACAACTTGCGTAATGACCGTATGCATATACCTATACTACTTATTCTATAGCTATACACACAGCACTATTATACTACTTGTCCATTCTACTTTCCTGACCAATTTCTAGCTTATACCACTTGTCTAGTCAGGGAGACCGTACTACTTCCTCGCTGCTTCAGCATTGACCTGTTTTACTGACCAGTCCAGTGATCAAACTCTCTTCTATGCCACTTATCCTATGCAATTTCCGACTATGCTACTTCCTAAACAACTTCCAACTGATATCTAATTGCATTTCTCATTTATATCAAGATTAACTGTTTATATTCTAATTCCATAATGATACTCTTTAAGAAAATCCATTTAAAACATATCTTAATTCAATAATTATCCATTCTAGAACAAGTTTGGATCAAGTTGATTATATACAGTTTCAAATTGCGCGCTAACATCGGCGTAAAATATATTCGTGAATTTACGAGTAGACGATAATTCTTACGTGATAAAGGGAAACTCGAGCAAACGAATGTAATGAAAGAGGAAGCCGCGTCACAAGCCTCGATTTAATTCTCCTCCGAGGGGAGAAATGTATAAAGTGCGTAATGTGTGTATTCATATAGAATAGAATATCGTTCGAGACTTTATAATAAATATCTACGGTTTTCTATTGTTACTTTTTAATCCGTTTTATTTTTTGCCCTCATTTACACCCTTTTATCAAAGATTGCCTTTAACATTAAATTTCGCGGGAAAATCAATTAAAAAAAAAAAAATATGAAACGAGGAAAGGGAAGTGTTCGATAGAGATGAGAACGGAAAGGAGTGCGGTAAGGAAGAGATAAAGAATATATATGAGAAAGTGGGGAAAAAGGTTAGATAAAAAAGGAGGGGTGATCGATATGGGAAGCAGAGAGAGAAGAGGGAAAGAGTGATAAAAATGAAGAGGGAAAGGATGATAAAAAAGGGACGAAGGAAAGAGATGAGAGAGAAGAGGAACGGTGATTTCTCATTTTAGGTAGGAGGAAAGGGAAAGAAGGTAAAAGAAGAAACGGGGAAATAAATTAATAAATAAAGGGGGGACGAGGAACAACGTATATCTTGCATGATGTGACTTAATAGAGCTTTTAACCTTTATTAACGCGCCGTATTTCCATTATTTTTAATGGCAAAACACGATGGCAAAGTTTGTACCCGAGAACCGGTATAAAAAAAAAAATTCATTATTTATTTTTACGAGAAACGTTCCATAATAATTAAGGTATCTCGCAATATTTCACATTCTTCCAGCCTGCTCCTTATCTAATAACATTTATTACTCCCGCAGAATTCCAATTTTCTAAATGCATCGCCAGTTGGCCCCTCCCCCTCCTATCATCTTGGAAGGCTTTTGCCCTTATGAGAGCGCAAAGTTTCTTACCTCGCGACGATTCAAAATGACCGTCTGAATGCATCCCACGAAGCTGGCGGTCGTTTTCATCTTCGGCGAGTACATGTCAGTGGATGGCGCGCCGCCCAAGTAAAGATTTAACGGCAACGACAGTTGCGTGAAAGCGCCTGGCGCTAGGATTTCCTGCGGGGGGTCGTCCTCGACTTCGAGCGAGGCCAAACGTCCGGTTCTCGACACCCGAACCTCCACCCACTCTCCCAGCCGAACAGGATTCTCGCTTCTGCAATTGTGAATCGTGTTTCAATAATATAATGGGAATGAAACGTGTCTTTCTCGACATAGAATTTTTCGTTTTTTTGCTTACTCTAGCTATACATGCAAATTGTGCGTGTTAAGTTGGCTTTGCCAAACTGTTGAATTGTCAAGTGTACCAGGTTATTCGACCATGTGCATGTTTGATAGGAAAGGAGGATGATCAATGTGAGGTGGCAATAATTAATTGTAAAATAAAAAAGTATAAGGAATCTGATTGGTGAATGATATTCGTGATTAGACATGGATTATTAGTTTTCTAGAGATTAATATTCAATTTCAAGAAATTTATATCATAAGCATGTATAAGATATTAGATGGGCTTTGATACGATGCAATCGACTTCCCGATATTACTAAAATCCCTCCCTTCTCAAGAATAAAAAAAGAGGAGGATTTTGTACTACTATTAGAATCGAAAGGAAACGTTTCCTGGTCGTCATGATAAAATGTGACGCGACTGTGGAAGAATCTTTAACGGAGAGAGGGAGGAAAAACCAGTCAGAATGGCCGAGTTTCACCGCCGTAATTCCGATCAAACGTCGTGAATGGGAATGAAGTTTGCTCACGGATGATATTTCGATGGTTGAAGGGTATATCAAGGATCGTGAAGGGTGGAAAAGTCGCGTATTAAATCGGTCTCACGAGCCAAAGGGAGGGAAACTTTCTTTCTCAAAGAAAGAATCGAAATGTTGCGTAGCCTCTTAATGGGCGGAAGAGCCACGTGCTCGTGAATATCGGGACTTGAAGAGGGTGTGATCGATGAGTTTTTTACCCTTCTTTTGAGAGTGATATTGTGACAGGTTTGTGAATTATAATCATTGCATTATTTGATGCTTTCATTATAAACGTATTTAACCAAAAAGATTTAGTGTGATTAATTTGGGGCAATTGATGATGAATAACGAGCCATTTAGATTAAGATAGCTAATTATAAAGCTGATATTATAATAATGCAAATTATTATAACATTATTGATACAAAATTTCAACAATATAAATTGTCGTCGAATATTTGTATTTGATAATTAATTTACGCTTATCCAATGAAAATATTCGGAAAATCTTACTATTCGAGACTTCGAGATTTCAAGTAAACGATTAGTTAATCGTGCAGTAATTTTTATGGTTCATTAATGTAACGTGTAACGCGTATTACACGAAGAAATTTGATCATTATAAGCAAAATGCACGGGTGAAGCTAATTTTCGGAATAACATTAAAGCAGCTTGTTGCATTAGCGCCATTTTGCACCGTACAATTAATAATATTTATATTTGTCGTTGAATATTTATGTTTGCTAATTAATCCGATCGAAATATGTTTGCGTGTGCCGTTAAAAATGAAAAATTCTCGCAAACATCATCGATCATAATTTCTATTTTATATTGAATAAATGCCGCCTCGGAACAATTTTGCAAATTGGTAAACAAAAAAACCAAATTTTGTATCCGATTGATTAATATCGAGAGAGAGAGAAATTTGGACATATATTATATAGAGTCGTAGAAACAACGGCGTCAAGATTTGTCCAGCTTGGCCACAACAAATGAAGTTTGCCTACGGATATTATTTCGTCGAGACGAAACGTTGCCGGCAGATTGCAAATAAATAAAAAAAAAAAAAAAAAAAAAAAAACAAAAAAACTTATTTATCGATCGGTTTCATAAAGCAGGTAAACACTCGTCCGCTTGCCTCCGTGAAACAGAATGATGTTTGATTTTCACGAATCAATGTAAAAACACGGCCGAGCCGTGTATCCGGTTAAATGAATCGGGATTAATTAACGGGGGAAATATTTTTCCGTCGGGTAGAATCTCGAATTTCCATATACATCGTCATTGTATCGACGAGAAACAACGTTCTGTTATTATATATTATAATTTAATTGTCGAAATGCTTGCAAAATGAAAGCTGTCCATTGTATTTGCCGATTCGTACGCGTTCGCGTTCGAAATCGTTATGACAGTTTCAATTTTTAATGAAATTTCAGTATATGAATATTTTACATTATGTATTTATTTTTTAATAAAATTAATTAAAACCTGGAATATTTTCTATTCCATCCTTCGAGATATATAAAATTCTCCATTATGGTGGAATCGTGTATATATCGTATATATTTTCTTTATTGTAAAATAAAAACTTTTTTCCTTTTAGGTATAAATCCTTTTGTAACCCTCTTCACATTATGGACACCATTCTAAATCATTTCCAATTCAATCCTCCTGATCTCGCTTAAGGATTTTCCACCAGGGTTAAGAGAGTTAATTCCAGGTTAACGGAAACAACAAAAATGATAAGCTAACCGGGACCTGATTAGAATCTCTGATCCACGGAGGGGCGTGTTTGCGAGCACTGATTTTCCATCATGAATATTCAGAGGTTTAATTCGCGATGAGGCCGATCGACATCGATACATCGTTAGCCGACGATAGGGCGGATTAAACGATCGGTCGATTCTTTCGTCACCAACATCGAGCTTGATTAATCGATCTCATCGCGCATAAATTCGTTATATAGCTACGTTACAGATAATCATTCGTTCATTGCGCGATATACGAACGAAGAAAATAATCGCGCATAAGACTTTTTTCTTATTTTTTTTTTTTTTTTTATGTATTTCAAGTTCATTTTCTTTTTATTCGATTGTCACTGGATTATTCGGGAGATAGATTCGAATCGATGAACTGGAGGAGGTTAAGAGAAACGGGGGGAACGGAACCTTGAAGATTTTAATTGCGTTGCGGTATTGGATTTGGAAGTCGGTTAAAAATGGATGGAAATAAATGATGGTTTTATTCCAGGTATAAGAAATAACGAAGAAAGTAATTATTCGTGAATAATAGTTTGGATAGAACGTGACATATCTTATTTTCACAAGAAGAATAAAGAGTATAAATAAAATCTTCTTTAAAACAATATCAAGACAAATAATAAGATAGACAATAATAAAATAATGAAATGGGTAAGATAATATCATGGACGAATGGATAGACAAATAGAACAAGATTATCAGATTGGATAGAATAAGTGAGAGAAGTTTGACAATTTCAATAACTGTTGCAAAAAAAAAAAAATAATCATTGAACGTATCTAACGATAGAAGGAAAAAAAGATGGAACAAAGACCTAAATTTACTTCCTGGAAAGTCTATTAACTCGCCACTACTTCAACCACAAATCAAGCCACCGCCTTCAACAATTAAAACACGCTTCCCCATCCAATCAAGCGGGAACGAGGCATCCATAACTGGCCGACCCACTTCCCTTTTTCACCTCGTGCACCAGTCCCCCGATAAAATTACAATATCCGTTCATCCGTTGAACGTTCGATGAGGGGCAAGCATGAAAACGATTCAATTAGACACGGTTAGGATTGAAAGGAGTTGCGGAGGAAATTGAAAGGAACGGTTCGTATCTATGCGTTTGCATGCTCGTATAATCATTTGTCAGAATTCTGAATCCATTTTTTTCCTGAATCAAAAGATAAACAGTACGTATAAAGATCTGATTCTTTTTATTGAACGTCACGTGGATATTTCCCCGTTAACATTTTTATTGACGCGTGTATTGTGTTTTTATTAATTGCTTCAATGTATCACAAAGCCCGTACACAACTGTTGCATTTTTTTGTTTTCAGGTTGAAACGCAACAGTTTAATCGTCTGGTTTTATTATTCATTGGTTTCGTGACAGATTGTTTTAACCAAAAGCTCCACCAACAATTCCATCCGCATAATAATAATAATTTTAAAAAAATTAATCCACCAACAATCTTCCTCGCCAATATATATATATATATATTATAAGAAATCAAGTTTACATACGAATTAATTCAATTAATTCGATCGGAAGGTTCAATTAATTCTATTAACTTAAATTTTCGTTAAAATTTCACTCGGATGAAGTAAATGAAATTCGGATTCGAATTACGGTTCGTACGTGCACGTGCGTTGGAGTAAGATTTCACTCTCCGGAGTGCTCACCTCAAACTGGCTGGCCCTGTTCCCAGGTCAAAGGTAAACTGAACATGGCCGGACGACAGGTACAACGCTATGAAATCGCCGGTGGCGTCGCTATGATGGCCATTGTAAAGTATAACTCCATCTGCGACAGTTGGTTTCAACGTGACAGCCAATTCCAGCCAGGATAGCGACGTGTCGGCCAATCCAGGGTAACGCAGATAAGAGGATCCATTGAACGAAGGTACCTGTAATCAGACAATTCATTCGCAACGGTTATTTCACGGACTTTCAACCCTAAGGAGATTCTTTCCCCAAGAATCTGATCCTTTCAGAGAGAATCGTTGTTTTTCTTGTAAATGGAAGGGAAAAAGGGGTGTAAATGGTTAAGAAAACGACCGCTCGACCGTTTCGTTCTTTGTTTATTAAGCTTCGTTTGTCTACGGGTGTTTTAATTTTTTAATTTTAATGATACGATTTACGATGATATCGTAAATCTGTGAACATTTAGGAAATTTAGAAATTAACGTTACAAGCATAATGTGTATCGTGCTAAAAAAAATTAAACGATACGATCATCTTTTGAAAATCTTGATCATCTTTCATTTAATTGAGCTTAATGTGATAATGTGCCATGAATTATTATTTGCTTTAATCAATCAATGAAAGTTTAACGATAAAACGAAAGAAGTTTGTGAATTTAGAAATTTATCTATTTTAAAAAGTAACAAGTGTCACATAACTTGTGAAGATAAATATATGTGATGTATATTTACGTGTTATAATGAGAAGAATGTAGAGGAAGAGATAAAGGGCAAGATAGACTTAAATGGAGATGAAGATTAAGTAACAGTTAATTGACTATGAACAGACTGCAACAGGTAATTTCGTTAACTTGTTAGCTAAGAAAATCGAGTTGGCACGTTATTTGAGCACGAGTTGCCACTATTTTAAATTTAATAATTCATTTATCCAAGAATAATCTTTTTAAATACACTGTCATACATTACAAAATGGAATAAAATTTAAAAATGATCAAAATTAATTTCAAGTTAAATATATTTATTACTCAACAACGCCAGAAGCAATTTAATTTCATGAATAATTATAATTTCGCAAGATTTTTAAATTTTTAAATTCACCGAATATATTTTTTCACGTAAATTAACACAGTGCTTTTGAATAATAAATATTTATCCAACCAAAAAAAGGGAAAAAAAAGATTTCTTCAAAAGAAATCCATTATCAAACAATTTCTCAAAGAATCTCGAACCCATATAAATTTTTCCGCCGCATAAAAATCATTCAACGATATTAATCTTCCTTTCCAAAGAAAATTTTCGAGAAACGTTTTCGTTCACCACCTTGGCCGATTAACCTTCATCGTTTTCTCTATCGTGAAAACCGTGAGGCGAGGAAAAACGACGTGTAAATCGTTCGATGGACGAGAAAAAGTCAGCCGACGATGTTATTTCCCATCGGTCCGGGCCCCCCAATCCTTATTTTTCCCGTTATCTCTCCTTGTCAATTTTCGAAATGACGTGGTTACCGAACAGGAAGAAAGTTCACCGTATAGGATACGGTAAATTAAACGTTGCACGGTCGTTACACCCGTATAAATCCCATTGGCGCGCCTCCCACGCCCTGCCACGGACTCGAAGAAATGGAACATACGTGAACACGCCGCCATAACGAGATCAGGGAACGCGAGATGTTCACGGACTCCCGTGAAATTTACCTTTTTCTTGGAGGGGTGGAGACGTCGATAAAAAGAAAAATTCGCTTGCCAGGGGTATAACATGGTTGTGGGAAGGGGAGGATGAATTTTTTTCTCCCAGATTTTTTCCTTTACGCGGATTAATTGTGAGAATGAATGGTGGAGGGATTATGGAGGAATATGGCGGAATATGAGAATTCGTGTAAAAAAGTATATGAAAGTATATGAAATGTGGGGTTGCGTGGATTGTTGTTTATGATGAAATAATATTGCTTAATATTATTTAAAAGTTAAAAATATAATTAATGGAGAAAGAGAATTTATTTTATAAAATGTTCGTTATGTTTTTGAGTGAATATATTTTTTTCCAAGCTTAATAGAACTTTTATGAAAGAAACGTACGAATATTGTGATTATGATAAATGAAGTTGTATAAATGAATACGTCCATTACACACTTTGTTAACGTTCAATGCATTTGTAATTTAGTTAACATTCAATTATAACGAATTGCATGTTGTTTAATAATTGATTGATTACAAGTAACAAAGTTTAATGGATAATATTGATTAATCAAATCTGAGAAAATTATAATTTATAGAAAATTATCCATGATATTTTATACTTGACATTTTACGATTGATATATGTTTGCAGTTTATTTCGCTATTTTGCAAAAATAGGGGATTCTGTTTTCCTCTATCCAAGCAACTACGTTGTCAAAACCGGAAATTTCCTTATCTTTCACGATGCTCGTTGAAGAAGGAACACTAAAATGAGTATAAAGATGGAGATAAGCGAAATTTTTATGATTTATGATAGAGAATGGCGAGTGAAACAACGAAAAAATATGGGATAAAATAAGAAGAATTAAAGATGAAACTTCTAAGAAAATATTCTTGACACTGGATAAATTATTAAACAATTATTAAATTTTCGTTCAATCGAAGATTAATCACGATAAACTATTAAAATATACTCATATATTCTACTCATGTATAAATATAAATAAATCGACCACAGTAGCGTTCATTATGATCAGACAGCCACTATGAGATAAAAAGAACAAATCAGTTTAAACGAATGATTAATTTTTAAAATTTCCTCTACTGTGAAATTAATATTTCAACTTTAATATCTTTAGATTTAATAAATCAACTTTGTTGTTCGTAAACCTTTTCATTTTAAAACTCTGTTAAAATCTTCCTCAATCATCAAAGAAACGACGATAAAAAATAATAAATTCTCAATAAATAGAATACGAATAAAACTAAATGAAACTAATATCCAATTTTATCCGTGGATCCATCTGTTGATGCTAAAATTACTGCTCAAGTGTTTCGGAAGTAATAGCAACCGACAACCCGATAGTAATTTTATCAGATGCAACTCGACGCGTTTACGGACCCGCTTTAATGCTTCCGCCATTGTTATAATCGATACACGTGGATACGTATATAACTGGCTCGTGATACGTATAATCCTACGTGTATTTCGATGCACACGTGTGTGCACACGCAAAGTGGCAGTCTGCGGACGAGAGGACAAATTGATCGGTATTATTCTCGGTTCCCTTTCCAACTTTTCAGCGTGGAAACGGCGACCATAAAGGAACAAGGGGTGGAAAAAAACGGAGGGAGGGGAAAAAAAAAGAGGAAACGAGGGAGGCAAATTTCTGTCGAAAATTTCGATTCCAACGAGGAAAAAAAAGAAAAGAAAAGAAGAAAAAAAAAAAGAACGCGTTTCCGTTTAATTCGATAGAAAATATCCTGGATCTCGTCGTTTCGATTTTAATCCGCTTGAAATCGAGCAGCAGGCTGTTCCAAGCCTTGGTATTCCGCGCAAGATGTAATTAACCGTGATACTTTGCACACGATTTACTATCGAGGCCGATACCAACGCGATTTCCACGGTCTCTTTCACGGTTTTACATAATCGTTCCTCGTATTTTAGAGACGATCTCTCCAAGAGAGATTTTCATTGATCGTTACTTAGGAATATATCCCGATGGGATTAAACCCTCTTTCATTATCGCATATATGATATTTTTTTCAAGATATTTAACGTGCCTTACTTCTTTTTCTTATCGTGATTATTATATAATTTGTGAAATAACGGGATTAAGAATCTTACCAATCCGATATACGTTATTAATAGATAGGAATATTATATAAATTATCGAACGTACAGGATACTTCTTCTCGTAATGAACTCTCACAATAAATAATACAAACGAGTATAATTATCTCTTCTGTTGTTGGTCCATTGTACAAATCACATTTTTTTTTTTAAATTTACAGTCTTCATAATTTTACTTTATAATCAACTTCATAAAAGAATTAAAAAAAAAATTATATTAATTGTGACGAGGTAAAGGAACGATTCGGCCGTTGAATAATCAGGATAACAAAATAGCGTAGGAAAGTCAAACGCGGATCTCGATTACCATTCCCTTTTATTCCAAACGCGTTTCAATGGAATTTTTTGAGAGAGAGGTTATCGGCTGTTACTTCAAAAGCACGCGGGCGACGTGACCGCAGGTTCGCGCCACGATAAAGGATTAAATGCAAAGTTTACGGGGCACGGGAGCGTGAGCCTGGTCAAGATTTAATTAATCGGTAGCGTTTCAGCCGTATTTGAAATCGCGGCCCGTAACAGTTAATCGTTCGTGGCTTCGACATACGAGAAGGGAAACGAGTTACCATTGAAATTTACGACACTGTAATTTCACTCAATGCTACCGCGTTTGATATCTCCGCGATACTGTTACTGGCGTTCTTGAAAAATGGTAATTTCCATGGTTAAACAATTTTCGGATTCGATTTCCTTTTTTTTCTTTTCTTTTTTTTTTTTTTTCTTCGATATTCTGAAACCGAGAGAAGACAAGTCGATTTGAAAAATTGGAAAAATTTTGATGAAATGATATTCGAAGAAGGTGGATTGATTATTTAATTTAAATCAATAAATTGTGGGAATTTTCATGTCAAAGATGAATTGCGAATCCAAGAAGTTACTCGATCTTTTGTATCGAAACTTTTCTTCTTTTGGAAAGCCATATATATTAAAGATATTTTCATTATTAATAAAGGAAATTTAGATAAGAGAAAATTTCTAATTTCAACATTGTGGATAGTATACAATTTTTTTGTTACGGTGAGGAAATCAGATATTTATTTGTAATATTGAAAAGAAGTAAAAATGTTTCACGTAGAAACTGATATTCATTCGTATAATATACGATTACTTTTATGCATAGCACGAGAAAAATTGGAATATTGATTTTACGAACATTTTGATAAGGAATGGAAGCAATTTTAAATAATGGATAACCTAGTTTCGCAAGTGGGTAATTTATTCGATAATTTTACGACAAAGCTCATTAGGTTTCTAATTACTTTTGTCCTTAATTATTGAGGATGTACCGTGCGAAATATATGGGCAATTTAAATTGAGAATCTTGATATCTTTGTACGAATCTATCGATTACTTTCTAAAAGTTCGTTCAATATATTAACCCGTTATCAACGTTAATCTCGAGCTTTCGTTAATGCTACAAATTTGTTTGTATAAATTTCTTTATACATTATTTTATATTTACATATCTATCTCAAGATAAAATATTCCATATCCTTCGACACATCATTCAACATTTTCCATCAATGTTACCTGCAAATCGACCCTGGTCTCGCATAGGTCGCCGGTGTATCCGAGGGGGCAGAGACATACAGCCGTGTCGCCTCCGGTAGTCAAGCATTTCCCGCCATGGGAACAGGGTACCTTGCTGCATCTGTCCGCCGTGCATTCCTCTGAAACGACAATAAATCAGACGGATCAATGGAGCACGCGATCAGCGATCTGTCAACGTGGATGATACGACGAACGTGGAATCACGTACAGCGAGAAATCTTTCGATAAAATCGACGTGGATGCGGCCTCGGCCTCCCTGCATTATTACGCGCGATCGAAAAATATCGGGGGAGGGGGGTTGGCGGTTCTGGTCTTTGGCTTCGTGTACACGTCGACAGTATCGTCGGTGTAAATATTTGACGAAAATACGGAGGCTCTCCTTTTCTGCTCTCCTCGTTCCGCGCGTATCGACGCCGGTGAGGAACCGGAAACCGGTGAGATGTCTGCGAAATTATCTTCCGCCGCGCTCGCTCCACTCTATCGGAAATTTCAGACGAATGAAAGGCGCTTTTCTTTTCCGTCCTTTTTTCCTTTCCTCCCCTGTTCTCCTTCTCTTTCGTTTTTTTTTTTTTCTCCTATCGGGAGACTTGGGATTGGGAGTCGCGAAGACTTTTGAAAAATCGATGCCACTACGCTTGTCGATTTCTCGACCGGAGAAGAAATATCGACGTGGTGTATTAATCGTGCACGTTGCGTTTGTTGCGCTTCTCTGTTCCCTCGAGTCGAGTGACGCAATTTAGACATGAATAAGTAATAGCACGAATATGGGAGCATGGAATATTTTATGGAGGCGAACGCAAATATAGGATCTTTGTTTGTTGAAATTCGAAGCAGAGAATAATTGAGGAGGAATTTTATTGGCAATTGTAAACTTGGATATACTTTATTCTCGCCACGATATATCGAAATTACAAAATCGTCACGAGGGACGATCTTTTTCGAAATTGAAAATTTTCTAAATCCACGTGATCTGCAACAAGTTAAAATTGGCCGGTGTATATTCCATTTATACGTTTCTCGAAATAATCTCGATTTTCCAGAAATTAAACTTGTGTTTCTGGTTTGCCTTAAAGTCGTCTCCTTTTCAATTCGTTCCACCTTAAGATGGCGGGATCGATATGAACCGAACGAGAGAGAGAGAGAGAACCGCGGGTCCTCGAACCGTCTTTCGAAAGCTACTTCCTGCTCCATTCTTTATACAGAGTCGTCAACTCACGCGGATCCCTCGTGAATCTGGTTTAAATCGAGATCGACCGAGAATTCTTCGATAGACTTTACTCTTTCTCCTCGTTTCCCTTTTGTTCTTCCCGATTCCGCTTAATAACGGGAACTGACAACTTCCTCGACGAGTTTTCTCTCTTGTTCTTCGATGGTGAATGCATGATATTCGCGACTATCGATAACGGAAACGAGGAAACGGTGTGGAGGAAAATTTCGTTCCGATTCTATTTTTTTTTTCTCTGTTTGTTACACGCTATTGATTGTTTTATTTTTCTTCAATAAATGTAGTATGTGAATATTAAATTAACTTGAGAATACAAAAAGTAGGCACAATTATTTATATTTTTGTTAAAAATTTTGAGAAAAGTATTGAAATAAAGATACACGATTCATTATTGATTCGACAGTATAAAGATCACGTATGAAGATTGTCAAAGAATTTTCATGTTCGTTAATGCGATGTGCTTATTTTCATCTTAGCTTTCAGTTCGTTCATTCATTCCCTTCCTTGTTATGTCTCAAATTAGATTTATACTATCACGAATTTCCTTCTATTCAGTCATCTAGTCGGGTATCTACGAAGATTTGAGTTACTTTCCTTTTCTCTCTCTCTCTCTCTCTCTCGAGAAAGAATTTTTTTTTATCTCGGTTACAACTTTGCTTAATAACGTCTAGAAACTTTCACGTCGAGGATTTCCTGAAGAAAAGGGGGAGGGGGAAAGAGGAATTGTTCAGAGGAACTTCTCAAACTCGGTGACTCGAGATCAATGATGCGATACCATGAAAACGGTAAAAGGTATACATTGGAAAAATTGCAGTGAAGAGGGAAATTTCTTTGTCAAAGAAACGAGTTGCCTCGATGAATACGTAACGGTACTACAAGGAAAAAGTGGTCGTCATAATGAAGGGAACGTTTTTCGGAAGAGAGAGTTATTTTTCCCGAAAAAATATCTCGCTTTTAATAATGTCGAATTTTCGTTTGTCCTTTAAAAATATTTTGAGCATTTCGTTTTTCCGTATTGAATTGTTATCATAACGTTAAAAAAAGTCCTTTGATGAAAATTTCCTTTCGTGAATTTTTTCCTTTCTATTTTTTAATCGTTCGATGTAAAAACTAATATTAAAAAAAAAAAGAAAAAAAAAAAGAAAGAAACAAATTTCTCTATCAATTCACTATTATACATTTATATGTTTTTTCAAAAATGATTGAAATTTTTTTTTTATTAGATTTTATACTTTAATATTAGATACTAACTTTTTATCGATACACCAACCAAAGAACAAAATTTTTCAAATATTTATTTGAATAACTGAAATTTTTTTTCTTTTATATAAATCAGATATATTCTAAATCGATAGATATATATCTATTGAAAATGGATATGTTTCTAAAATTTTTCAATCTTTCTGTGCAAAGCCATATCAAATTAATAGATAGATATCTATTGAAAATGGATACGATCCTAGAATTTTTTTATCTTTTTTTGTACAAAATCATATCACAGATATTGCAACTTTAATTTTACTCAAATTTTTCTATCTGTTACCCTTCGTTTAATCATTTCCAAATTAAAAACGAAACAAAACAAACCATACCATATATAACTGATGAACCATTCTCCATTCAGATTCCAGTTTCTTGTTCGGATAAATAAATCGAAATAGAATCACATACAGATCGGTGTATCAGAAATTTCAGAATAGCTATATTGATAAATTGATGAGAGAGGTAGAATGTTTATGAAAAAGGTGAAATAAATATATATCAAATAAATCAAATAGATCAATAAATAAATAAATTGTTGGTTGGTTATGCAATGGTGAACAATAAATAAGAAATATATTGATTTAGCTGAATGGATATATTTTGGTTATACGTGAGTGCACGTGTCGGGCTACAGAACAGCAACTGAACAACTGAAGATCATGTATCAAAGATAAACAAAAGGATGCCAACTACAGAATAGTAACACTGCTAGCAATGTTCAATAATAAAATTATAGATAAAATTTCAGTGAACTTTATACCTATAATACTCCCACTTAAAGTGAACTAAAATTTGTTTAATGTATGTACGTTTATTATGTTTGAGTGTCATAATTTTGTATACCTGCCATATCTTCGATACTCTTGACATTTAATCGATTTCTTTGTATCTCAAATACTGTTCTTCTCGAAGGTTTTATTAGTAGGTCTGCTTGCTGCTCCTCCGATGTTATATGTTGCAGAAGAAACTCCTTCGGAACCATTCTGTTCCGGAATAAATGGTACCGTTTTCTAATACGTAATACCATGTCGATGTGTTAATTCTTCAATTTCTCTATTAGCAAATTCAAGACCGTTATCTGACCTGAAAAATTTTATTTCTTTTTCTAAATGTTTATCGGTTTTCTTAAAGAAATCTTCTAGACATCATGGTGTCTCTGATTTGTTTTTGATAAAATATAAACTTCTCCAATGACTGTAGTCATCTTTCATCATTAAGAAGTATCTAGCACCTCCAAGTGAATTTTCTTACATTAGACTTGAGAGATCTGCATGGATGAGTTCTTCGATACGTTCGGATTTTGTATTGCTTTTCGGGAACGGTAATCTGTGTGCATTTTTCTTAAAATGCAATTTTCACAGCAAAATTCCTGATCTTTAAAAGTGATGTTCTCAGATTTTAAAATTTTTTTCACATGATCCACATTCTGGTGAGCCATTCGCTTGTGCCAGGAGAAAAGAGAATTGCATTACTGCTGTATTTACTTGATGCTCATGTGCAATGATTTTAAATTTCATTATGAATAGCTTACCTCTTCTTTTTCCCACTGCAATATTTCCATTCTTCATGAATTTATATATTTTGTCATCAGAATATTGTTGTAATCTCTTATCAAAAGCTGCACCCGCCGAGAAAAGATTGAAGCTCAATTCTGGTATGTGAAGAACATTACTGAAATATTTTCGTATCCATTTCTTTCTATTAAAAGCAAAGATATCAATATCTCCTGATCTAATTGTTTGAATATATTTTTCATTGCCTATCTTAACATTCTTTACTGTCTCTCGAATTTTCTATATGAAGAACATTCGCGACGATTCGATATATGCTCAGTCGCGCCCGAATCCAAGTGCCATGCATCATTGGATACTTCTAAATTATATTCTACAGACATAGCTCCGAAGAGTGTCTCTCCTTTTCTTCCAGTATAGTTTGGTATTGCCGCTTTTCGATTTCGGCATTCTTTGATCCAATGTCCTGGTTTGTGACAATAATGACATACGCCTGGTTTGAAATTACCTTTCTTAAAATTTTTCTTATGCTGATACTTATTTGCAGTAAAAGCGATATTCTCTGTCTTTTCTTCGGTTTCTGCCCTTGTCTCCTCAATGATGAACCTTGAAATAAGATTTGTGAAAGTTCTTTTATTAAATTGGATCGATTCCACGCGCTAACGAAATGTCTGCGTGACGAAGATAATGTATTTTATATTTCATGAGTATTTTAGTGATAATTATTTGATTTCTCACCCAAAATTTGCAATCGATGTACAAGGTTCTCAATTTTTACGATGTGACGGCTATATCGTCTCCTGGTTCTTTCTAGTAACTATACCATTGTTGCAACAGCATGTGCACACTAGCATTAGACTTTTGCTCATAAACAGATTCCATTTTCTCCCACATATTCTTAGCTAATTCACAATTGATAATATGTAAGAGTGATTTTTCATCTACCGATGTAGTTATTATGCGTTGAGCTGTACTGTACTCCAAGTAACTCGATTCGCCGTATCATCTCCTGGTGCGAGAAGAATTGATTCACCTGTAACTATTTCCTAAGCACAGGATTTCCAAGTTACGCGTACTTGAAATTTCCGTGAAGACCAATTTTCTAATCCTTTTAGCTTGT